CAACCAGGATTCTGCAGTTTCTGTAAATACCTTATCAATGGCTACAATAACCTCTTCCAGCTATTTGCTTATTTTCAGAATATCTTAGCCGACACAAACCTGCCCTTCTCCCCACCCGAAGAGCAGTCATTTTCAGAAATCATTCCACAATTTGAAACTGTCACAAATTTCCCTGCAATCTAACCAGTCATCTCAGGAGCCTTGGTGCGTGGGAAGAGAAACAAATAAAATCTTTTTTTTCTCACCTCCTACAGCAGTCTTGTTATTCACACCCCAGGAGCAACAGAGAAGCCCCTTTTCAAATCACATATTCACGTCACCAAGTAACTCACAACTAGAAAGCTCGTTACTGAAGTGGTGACAATTTCCCCATTTAGCCATATGGCACAGAAGAAATACAGCTCCAGACAGAGCTTTCTCCAGCCCACTGCCTTTGGGAAAGCCTCATTCTTTGCAGTCCTACATTCATATCACTGTTAAGCCATATAGGGTAGTGCCACAAGATATCCAAGCGTCTAGCATACGCTCCCAAAGCTTGAACACCTCTATGAAAATGAGTAACACCATCAGGTACATGCAGATGGCTTGCAAAATGCATCGCTTTCCAATTGACTGAAGGTTGTTATCCTGCATATCTATTTGAGCCTGTTTTCTAAATAAAACACATGCTGGTACGTTAATATGATGATGCAGTCTAGGTCTGCCTCACTTCTAAGTGTAAATTTTAAAATGTACTCCTCCCCGCTACACACACTCTTTACAATGCAGTGTATTTCAGATCCAGCAGATGCTCATTTTGTTCCTAAAACAGATTTAATGGGTTTTCCATGATCTAAACACCTGACAAAAGGGCTCCATGCAGCTTTAATACTTTCCTAACCCTGTGTTAAATTTGTCCTAGTGTTGCATATAGCATAATTCTGCAGCCATGTCAACTATTCAGGTAATGCTAGAATGTCGTCATTACAGTTTGTGTCAACAGCATGATCTGTATGTACCTTGTAATCATTCTGGTGTTGGGTTGCAAAGGTCCTTGGACTCTTCATTTGGCTGAGTCTAATTCTGTCCTCTTCACAAAGATCTAGAGTTACACTAAGTAAAGGTTGACATTTACATGAGACACTAGGACTGCTAGAATGACTCACCAAGGTAAAACCTTGGCTATATATTCTTTCAAGGGCGTAAGCTGTACAGTGCCGACATTTCCGCTGACCTGCTGTAGAAAGCCTCTGTGCTTAGCAAGGCAAACACGGGCAGAGGGGCACGTCACGCGTGGAGCTCGGCAGGACTCGGGAACAGGATCTCAGGAGTCTGAAAACAGATAGTTAAAGAAGCCTGGAGCATCACTCATAACTTAAAGAAAAGGAGACACATCAGAGAGAAAACAGCTACCTCAGAGTGACCTTCCAGTGTTTTCTTGGAAGCTGAATGACCTCCTCTCATTTTTACTGCTATGTTGGACAGCCACATACACAGCCTCACACACAAGACAGCTTTGCACTCGCACAGAAGCCCACTGTTTCAATTACATGCAACCTACTAGTAGTAGCAGGGTTGGTCAGCGTTGCAGCCAGAGTCCAAACGCTCTCACTACATTTACTCTCCCAAGTTCTCTCTGCCCTTTAAAGCAGCACCAGCTACCACGTTCAGCACACCTGAAAGTCTCCTGGTTTACTAAACATCCTGAGCCCCAGTGCCATTAGGTCTCAATCAAAACCAGGAAATTCAGACTAAAGTAGCGGCTGTTCCGGTGATGAAGCTTATAAGCCTTTTATCTATTCCCATGAACTCTCCTTTATCCAAATCCAATATTAACAGTGAAAGCATCCAACACACTCACGAGAAGCAAACTATGAAAGGGAAGGACCCAAGAACAGGAGATGAGAATAGAGCATCTAACATAAACCATGCATGTGAAGGATGAGGTTTTCTACAAACCAGGGTGCTGCAAGCAATGTGGATTTCAAGGATGGCTTCTGCTTTAAGCAGCAGACACCTACAGTAGCCAAGCACAAACAGACTTCCCAATGATGGGCTCTCCTCCCAATTGAACTAGTAAGATCTGCTTTGGCAAGAGATTAGCCTAGCCTTCCTCGAGCACTGGTGGCTGCAGCATCACATATATAGCTGCCTGTATTTACTGTGTGAACAGTGACTGCTTGGCGTGTTACATGGCATCAGTCCAGTTTCACTTGCAGCTTTGACAGCCATCATCTTTGACCACGGTCTCTGCCGTGTCAGAAGGTCTTAGCAGTAATCATCGCACTGAGTAACTAATGTCACGCAGTTGAGTAACTGTCTTGGGCACAAATGCATAAGCTAGTGCTATTCCTGCTTAGTGCTAAAGTTCAGTGCCTGTTGTATCATGGCTGGAAACTTGTCAGAAGCGGTTCTTATTCAGTTCAGTAGACCAACCTCTCTGCAAGACCTTGCTTCTCTCTCCAGATAAGGTGTGTCCAGCCTTTCTGAGCAAGCTTCCTGGAGTACCTCACTGCTTTGATCTCAAACCACAGCCTGCCGCAGTCCCCTCTGACCACTTCACTTACTCTTCCTAAGGGGCACGTCTGTGCCTTCTGTTTCTGTGCGTGTCTTGCCTGATTCCAGACTGATCATGGACTTGGAAACAGAGTGGAACAACCAAGAGTGGTGGCATGTCTACAGGAGACTTCAGTCTTTTGTTGTACAGAAAAAAAGGGGGCATAGGTCCTCCAATGCAGTTTTGTTAATGCTGTTTCAGTCGTGTGGAACGATCTTTAAAGCAGATCTGTCAGCCCAGGAACTCCTTCCACAATCTGCACGTCTGATTTTTCACCACCCTTTTTCTTTGGAGGAAAAACAGAAAAAACAAGTCAGCCAATTTTACAGGTCCTGAAAACTGACTATACTGACCATTACCTGACAGACTGCAAGGAGGCAATGCAAACAGCATCACAGGGATCTGTGGTGGAGTACAGCCAGGATTGGTTTGCGGCGGGAACCCGGGGCAACTCAATAACATTGGCTTCCCAAGCCCTCCTCCCACATCCAAGGGTTTGGGATTATCCAGCAGTCCTTGCATCACGGCACAGCCCTGTTGATGGTCACGTGTGACATAACCTTGGACAGGAGCCATCCTTGAACTGCTTGAGAGATACTTATAACTCAAGAGCAACAGATAGAAATATGAAGGCCATGGGTGGTCCAAGTACATGCGCAACCGCTTTGCTGGATCAGGGCCAAGGGTAACATACTGCAGGTTTGGATGAGACACAGTGACATGTTCTCATCAGAGACGTCTGACTGCCTTAGAGCAGCCCATTGTCTCACGTGGCTGCCTGCAGTCGTCACATGGCTACACCAGTCAAATCCAACTAGACTGCAAAATATCCTTCACTGTAATCAGTTATGACTGTTTTGAGAGTGACAGAAAGCAGGAGACAGAGAGAACAGATCTCAAATTATTTGTACCAAACAGCTATGCAAAGCCTCCAAAAAGTTCAGATGCATATACTGATTTTATTCGATGAGATGGGTGCTTTTGTAGCCTACTGACCTGTTCAAGGTAATTAAATCCTAGTCTGTTGAGGTGCCTCCATATCTCTACACCATGCACCTGTCTGCATCTCTACGAATGTGACTCCACGACAGGGTGACAGTCAGCTAGAAGACCCCCATTTTGAAATTACTCTACCTATGTTACAAATGCTGTAAGTACCAAACAATACCATACAGAACGGGGAGCATCAAGTGTAGGATCCAGACCCTGAAGAAACACATACGTTTGTCTGACCTAGAGCACTGTCGGGGTGCAAAGAAACAGCTGTAACCTTAAGGAGAGACTTCTTACCTGCCAAGCCACAACCACTCACATCTGGTTCTTAGCAGGCTGCAAACACAAAGCAAAACTGCCACAAAGGCAGTGATTCAACCGGGGAGGAGCTCACAAGGGGACAGTTACAGTGGCCTTAGTAACTGATCACTAAACAACAAACAACAGCTTTGTAACCATCTGCCAATACCTTAAGGTACTGTTTGCATGACCACAGACACATACAGGCACAAACATAGGACTTGGCAGTACGTGACAACATCAGCTACCAGATAATGTAGAATAAGGCTCTGAATTTGACGCTGCGGGTGCTAAGAGTGGGACAGGGTGAACAGCTGGCTTAATGGATGGGGAACGCAAATCCCAGGGCACCCTTTAGCAAGACAGCACACCAAACAGATCGGCAGGGGACCTATATTGCTCCTACAGCCAGCAGAAAGTCAATTCAGTTATTTCCATGACTTCTCCTTGCTGACAAACCAGGTCAAATTCCTTCCCCGCAGCTGTAGCTCAAGGCAGACGTAGGAGCACTGTCTCCACGTCTCACACATGCTGCTGTCTCTCAGTCCGGAGCCACACTTTTAATGTTCACTCCAGAAGCGGAGCGTATGACAGCAGCACTGCTGCAAGTTATTTATTGAGACCGGCATTTTTACTGATGCAATGGTGCACGTGAGAAACAGCAACATGAGATCATTAGCCTGCAGTACTCCACCAAGAAAAACCTCTCTTGCCGTAGTAAAAGGGAAACAAAGATGAAACCTGTAAACCCTTTATTAATGAGCTACCAGTAACTACTTTTTTGCGTCAATCCAGTACGCTACAGTCCTTATGTGAGAAGGATCTGGTAGCTGGTTTATGAAGTACCATTTTCACTTTAGCTAAAGTAACAAGGTTTTTCTCTAGACTCTTCCATCCAAATGCAGAAAAAACCTGACTCCAGCATGGAGCCAGGTTTCACGGGTGACTTGGGTCTTTTACAAAGGTCTGTTTCAATAACCTTGGTTAAATGCCTCCATGCTCTGGAGGTGACCTGAGCCTACTCTCAAATACTAAGGATGGTTCTATTTTCTCTGGCACATACCACTTGCTCTCCCTCCAACCAGCATACGCTCAGTTCACAAAACAGCCATCACTGTTGTAAGGGAAAGGAGATAGTTCTAAACACACTGATTTCTGTTTGTCTTTCCAGGTTCATAGGGTAAATCCGAGGGCTAAGCCTCCTTGCAAGTCTCAGCATCCTGGCAGGGCCAGAGGAATGTCACAGTAAGTGCAAACACTGTTGAGTCAAGTATATTCCGCCTCCTAAAGTCTCTGTCTCCATCCTGCCCTGTTTATTTTTTCCCCCCACATTAGGAAAAAGTGGAAAGCCTCCAGTGTTTTGCTGACCATTGGTTCCTCAGCCAGTGAAGTCTGTAGTAGCCATTCAGTCCACCAGAGTTACACCACTTTATAGTTACACACATTTTATAATTCAGCCATTATCTATTGGCCCTCAAAGAGTAGGTGACACATTTTTAAAGTTATTGTTTATAGCATTTTAGAAATATTTTGCGAGGAACAGCTCAAGCACATCTTCAGCAAGTGACTAAGAGGCAAGGGTCATCGTGAATATCAAGATCTGGACCCTAAGCTCTGGAAAAGGGCTTTCTGGCTTGGAACATTTCCTAGCCAGAATTGCTAAGAGAACTGATGGAGCAGGTGACAGGGCTGGAAATGCTCGAGGGGCTGCCACGCAGCTTCGCCATTTGTCAGCCTACTTCAAAGATTCACTTCAGAACAGATAGTTGATTTAAAGCACATACTTGATCAAGAGCTGGGGAGCTCAGACTGTCTAGAGACAGACTCACATCTTAACTCAGGCTGGAGGGAAAGAGCTGGTAACTTGAGTTATTTCAGGGAAAAGACAGATTATAAAAAAGACCAGTGCCACAGCAAAACAAACCCAAGCACTTCAGTTGCACATTTATACGCAAGACTCATGGTTCAAAAGCTAAATGAGATGGATATGAGTGCACATCAATGCTCCACCATGGAACAAGGACATATCTTGCACTGCAAGTATTTGATCATCTTAAAACCGCCTTTCTTGCTTAATCAGAGACCTTATTGTAACCTCTGCGTCAGCTGAGCTTTAAAGGAGGATGTCAGGACAGAGTACCAAAGTTCCTGCTCATTTCTCTACATTCAGCCTCATGGTGGTTACCACATACACCACACAAGCCAGGAAGAGCTAGACCTGGGATCACCTAGACCAGGTAGGGATCTCTGTAGAAGGGGACTGCTACTGGCAAGCAACACTGATCTTTACATAGAGACTACAAGATGTGGGCAATTAATTGGCTTATAAGACCAGCAACGCTTACCGGTTATCAGCTCCTCTTTCCACTAACTTGGTGTTCTCAGTCCAGGGAGGCCTTTCCTCTTGGAGCGCTTGAATGGAGACTCTCCACAGGGTATTTATTAGGCTGGCACACGAACAACAGATAAAACACTCTGACATCTTCTTCTGTTTCATAGTAAAGTGCCAGCAACACAGCTGGGTTTCTGCATATGAGGAATTCAAGCTATAAAAATCACTTTTCTTTGCTATATAGATGCAGAGTCCCTCGGCGAGCCTGACCGGGTCTGCCTATGGAAGCACACCTGTGTTTACAAAGGTAAAGAGCACAGGTTGTCTGAACGACATAGCTTGTTCTGCAACTACTAGCATTAGATTTCGAGTTTTCTTGCTCCATCAGAAGGTATTTTGAGGCTGGAACATTGGTTCATTTACAATTCAAAAAAGCCAGCATGCTTCATTAGTGGTGCTATCAAATTAACATCTTAATTGGTAAACGATCCAGACAGACAGAACCACTTACATGAATTCATCTCATTCATTTCCTACAAAGGAGGCTGAAGCGGAAACCTCTCATAGTAACCTCCCTTATTATGTTGTATCCACTGGAATAGATGTTTTTCCTGCATTTGTATCTTTATTTAAATGCATAAGCAAGCTGAAGCCTTTTAATGAGCACTGGTCTACAGGTGAAAAAACCTCCACTCACAACCCACTGCAAATGCATTTAGAATTAAATCAGCTATTGTAAGTAAAATAAAAATATGGGCATGAGATCATCTTCTTCACCGAAGGGTGTATCATTCCGTAATAATCGCTTCAACGGGGAAAAACTTATGTCAGCCATTTAACACCAATTTTTCCTCCTCCAGGGTCTACAAAACATAAAAGCTACGAAGGGTCAATTAGTGGTATTTGAATGTCGCATTCGCGCTACACCCACCTTACAGGTTCACTGGTACAGAGAATATGATCAGATAATAGATTCTGCCGATTTCCGAATACTACGAAAAAGTAGGTATTACTACGTCTGTTTGATGTACAGTAATTTTATTGGGACGATGACAAGACAGGAGCAAAACTGCTATAAAAATTAGGAGCTCGTACATGCTCATAGAGGCAGAGTTAAGTTTACAAGTATGAAATGACCTGAAGTCACAGGCTGCTGTGCAGAGCCTGCGGTTCCGCTGGCGACGCGTGAGCGGATCAGGCACAACGGGAGGAGATTGCCATGCTGTTAGTTATTAATGAAAGTATTGCTGAGCCTGGAGGCATCGTCACTGTATATTACAACTACTGATGAACTCGGGGAAAAAAATTTGCAATATAAGCACATTTTAAACAATTTCTCCTACTCCCAGGCATGAGGTCATAGCCCCAGTGGGCCAAATTCACAGCAACTAACTCCAAAGTCAGCGGAGCTCTTTCTAGATCACCTCAGTGAAGAGGTGTTTGTACCATCAGGTTCCAGCCAAACCTGAGCTTCCCCTACCCGCATGGTATTTCTCTTGATGGACAGGAAGGGAGATGGTCCCTTTTGTAACTGGGGTGACAGCTGAGGTGGGAAAGGAGGAGAGGGCTGAAGGTCTCTCTTCCATTCTGCCATTATAACCATTTAATTTTTTTCTTTCTTATTTTGAGCAGAGGCTTGTTCGTCAGCTGTTCCCGGTAAGTACACTGCGCATTTTTTGTTAGACATCTTACCGGTTAATTACCCCAAGCTTAGTTTTTCCCACCTCATCCAAGATAAAACAATAATGTTCAAAGGGGAGCCAGAAGATAGCACTCAGTGTCAGGCTAAGAGCTTTCAAGTTCTTGGTTTTGACACAAGCGCCTGAAAAGCCCCAATTTATTTCACAACACAATGAAAAAGGTATCATCCCTTTTACATTCAGCCAAGGAAGAGCACCCTATGTGTTAAGGGAAAGCATATCAACCATTCTGACCCGTGATCTTTCCTGGGTTTTAAACTTGTGCAAGAGAAGACAGAATTTAGCAAAAAATTTGTGCCTTGTTTCTTTAAAGCCATACGAAGAAAGATTCTTCCTTCACCTTTGCTCCTTCTGAACCCCTTGACTTCCTATGCCCTTTACATCACTTTTTTGCACTTTATTGCTGGCAAGCCCCATCACTAAGTAGCAGTCCTTCTGCAAGGACCAACTCCTACAAGTTAACATTTGGGTTTTATGGTACAACAGCATGCCCGAATTTGTCATTTCAGAGGAAGTCTGCACCCTGGTTATTACAGAAGCTTTTCCAGAAGACTCTGGAATATTTAAATGTGTTGCTGAAAATGAATTTGGATCTGCAGCATCCAGTGCACGTCTCTCTGTTTCCCCAGGTAAGCACATGGATCTCTGAGCTGAGCAACTAAGCACAAGACAATTTGCTGCTGCTCAGCATCAGGCAGCATCACAGATATTTGCCAAGAGAAGCCAGACCCAAACACTTTTGCAGGCTCAAGAGAAGAGAAATGGCCCAAAAATGCAGTCTGCTTGGGTACTTCTCAAAGCTGGATGCAAGTTGTTCCGCATTTCTGCTTTTGGCCCCTCTTCCTCCTGGGTCAAGGACGACAAGGTGAAGACGATGTTTCCTCTCACAGAGGAGTCTCATCCCTGAGCTTCACCCCTTCAGGGATCCCAGCTTAGCCCAACACATTGGCTGAATCTATACCTTGTTTATTGTAACACATGACTTGCCTGGCTTGTGCTGAAAGCCATCTCCAAACAGAGCAGCACCTTGCATGTAACCCAAAGCTCACCAGCCCCGGTGAGAAGTCAAGTTTGGCTCATGCAGCTGTGCAGGTTTTGGTCTACGCAGACCCCAGGCAGGTTGAACTCTCACTCCCCTGCACAGTCTCCCTTCCTGTTACCGCAGCGTGCGGTACTGGTGACCCACCACTGCTTTCTACCTGACTTGTGGACAATTCTACTTCCAGGAGCAAAAGAGCTGGAAAGCTTTGCGGGTGCTGCCCACAGGCCAGCTGTACAAGTCACCATGAAGAAACCCACCTTCCCTAGGAACAGCCAAACAGGAGCCAAGGACCGAGATGCGGCTGGCCTGCCATCCTACAGCACAGAGACCCCAGCGCTGGGCAGTCGAGCAGAAGCCACAAACTTCGGCCAGATGAACTCCAAGAGCGAAGCTGAAGATTTTCATGGAGCTTATAAGAATTCGCCTCAGGCTTCACCTCTGCGGTAAGACAAAGAGAAAAATCACATCCCTGGGTTAGTTTTACACGATACTTAGAGGATGAACTTTCTAGAGACCCTGGCAATACAACTGCAAAGCTCCCGTGCCCCATACCCTAACAGGGAAACGTGCACATGCAGTAACCTGAGCTGTTTGCCTAAATGACAACGGGAACGTGTAACACCAGGCTCGATTTGACAAAGTATTTAACTATCTAAAGGCTCAGGAAGGTGCCTAATGGCATTTTCAGAAGTGCCTATCTATAAGTAACTTTAAAAGCATCACCCCAAATAATTAGCCTCTAGAAGACCTTTGGCTCCACAGCAGAGCATGAGGCAAAGATCATAGTACCTGGGAAATTTCAAGGTACAATTCTGTTGCCACCACCTTCCTCTGCAACCCTGGCCAAGTGGCATCACCTCATGTTTCTGCTTCCCATTCTGTAAGACATCAATAGAACTCGAGATCCTGTAAGCATGGTGCAGATTGCACCTGCAAAGCACTCTGTGGAGGAAAAGTAGTGAAGCAGTGACCCACTGGATAGAATGAAAACTGTCCCACGCCACAGTAGGGACACTCCTCGCCCAGGAGGTGGAGATTTTCCCCCAAGAATAAAGTATTCCCTCCTAAAACAAGACTTGATCCAATTTCTGCCCCAAATGCAGCTCTCAAGTAGCTATGTACTTATTGCATTATTAGCTATTCTGTTTAATTGTTCCAGAGAAACAAAACAAGTTAGAACGCACATCTTAGCAATTCCATCCCAGATTTTTGTAGTGTTTCTTGGGTGTTTACAGGCATAACGAAGACCTCAAATGGTGACAGTTAAAAGGTCCAAGCCCAGCACTACAGAGAAGTTTCCTCAGTCTGGTTTGTGGAGAGCTACGAGGCAGACGTGTGCCTCCTCTCCCAGCTGAATGCCAGCGCTGCATTGCAGCGATACTGTTACATCGTGTGTAAACGGCTGTCCGTGACAGAAAGCGTTCTCTATGTTCTAGATTATTTTTTTATGTACTCAGCCACTTTAACTAAACTGGTTATTTTAACAATTCTGAACATCCTCCTCCAAATTCACTACAGGAGAGATCATATTTCAGTATAGATTTCTCCGTGCGCAGGAATTTTTTTACTAAATCACTGAGTTAAAATGGGTTTGCTTCAGTAACCTGCAGATTGCTAAGAGGAGGCTCTCAGCTTAGCTCCAAGCCCCTCCATAAAATCCAGGCTTGCTCCAGGGAGATCAGCTGGGGCCCTAAGCAGACCCCACTGCAGAATCAAAACCCTGGCTGAAGCTAACTTGCGTGCACTTTAGGAGACTGCAGCACCGCGAAGCTGCGGAGGGCTTGCCTGCAGCCTGCCATGAAGCCGTGCACGTGCTGTCGTTGTCTCCAAACATCACAAGCCAAGGGTGTGAATGCAGCACCGTATTCAAGTAAACTCATGCTTTACTACCCCAGGTCCAAACACCTAGAGATAAGGCTGAGTTTGCTTGGAAGTATCTAACACAGACCAACATTGCATTGCTCGTAATCTTTACCTGATTGTTTTAAACAAGGGCAGACTCTTAATTGTCTTCTGAGCAAAAATGAAAGCCTTTTATAAAATCTCTGGCATAATTACCTCTTGGAAGGAATGGGGGCAGTAGGAGACATTTGCTAGCTGTCCTTTTAGAACAGGAGTAGTTTTCCAACCTCTCTCCAGATTTCTCAAAGGCAGCAGGCAGCCTGTACTCTGGCATTTCTAACAAGCAGCCTGTGGGGAAGCTCTTTTAGATGATACTTGCTGCTTAGGGTGACTACTTGTAAAGTGAGCTGTGCTTGCGTTTTTGTTTTTAAAGTTCTGGTTAGTTTGAAATGCAGTACCTAATGTCCTGCATGAAGGGATATAACGTACCACCAAAATCAGCTATGTAATAGCTTTTAAAAAATTGGGTTATATAAAACATTAATAGTGTTAATAGACACATCTAGTGTCTAGAGCTGCAGAGTGCTTTTGATTAACAGCAATGCTGAACCGGATTTTGGAAGGCATTTACACGTCTCAAGAGAAAAAAACTATTAAAATTTCTACATATACCCATCTATGAGCATCTAAACATCTTTAAAGCCCACAGTCTTATTGCCATGTGCTTTGAAACATCATTAGGAATGGGACTCAACATTGTAAATGTTGCTGTTACCTCAAACTAAGCAATCATCTCTGATGACTAGCTGTACAATAACTGTCTTGTTAGACAGATTTAGCCATATAACTCTCTCACGTAGCGTATGTGGCTGCAACTGTATTACCAAAGACAAAAAGAAATACCAACAAAGACAGCGATGACAGAACAAAGCTATTACTGGGGATAACTATAAAATGAATGAAGTCCTTGTACTCATACTTCTCCAAATTATTGCTTAGCAACAGCCACTCTACAAAAGCTAGAAAATGCAATTCTAGAAGGCTGTCACTACCAGCTACTCCTTTCTGAGCCCTTTATATCTGCAGCTTACAGTGTCCTTCTCAACAGCCTTAAAAAAGCAGAAGAAAATCTATACTAATCATTAACTTTATTAAAGGAACTTAATCCAAGCAAAAGAGGAGGCTTCAGGCACTAAGTATACCGCCAGGTCTTTTAGGTAGCTTTTAAGATTCCTTAATAAATAAGCAAAAGATTCTTAACTTCTTTCTAGCCATTTGTTGCTATATGACACAAGCGACTAAGAGAACCCGATCAGACGCAACATGTCACCATTCACAGAACGTAAACTGAAGCAGTACAGAAAAGCTGGTCTCCAACACCCCGCAGCGCTGGTCAGAGTACTATTAAGTTACCCTACCACAGGCTATGAGATTTTTTTTTTTCCCCCCCCTACCTTCTGGATCTCACGTTTTTCCGTTCCTTCTCTTTCACACAAGTCGTCCTAGTTGTGGCCAGCCTTTCAAGTGCCTAAAGCTGTCCTTAAATTGATGCCTTGCAGCCAACTTCAGTTCTGAAGCAAGCGTGCTGCACCCTCACTGCAGCCGATGGGAAGGCAGGGAGCCTGCCCGAGCACAGAGCCTGACCCTTAACACGCTCACAGCTTCCTACAGGGCAAACGACCTTTCTACAGTTACCTTTTTTAAGTACTCAACTCTCTCTGTGGAAACTACAGATTTTTTTTTTTTTTTTTTTAAACTTAAAAAGCAAATAACCTCTCCAACAACCAGGGGCACACTTCCTCCCTTAACCACTTTCATCGCGAGAAATTTAAATAAATTTGCTCTCAATTAACACCTGCTATTGTAGATTTAGTTCACAAACGGTGGGCTGATGTTTAAATACAAACACTAAATGTGGATTAACTCTCGAAGATCGCTGTGCTGAAAGGCTCACCGGTACAGTGAAGGGAGAGAAGAGGCAACTGAAAGACCAGGCGCAGCCCGAGCTGCGGTACTTACCGGGCTGGGGGTTTTTTCAGCAATGGCGTGTACGTTAGGCAAGAGTTGCCAAGGTATCATTAAGATACTTAAGACACTAAAACGTTAATTTAAGATGTAATTAAGCATTGAAGCCTTTGATTAAAGGGATACAAATCACCTAATCTGCCAGCAGGATCTGTCGGTGTTCTGGTGAAAACACCACAGTTGCATCTTTTAATCCAAGTAAATACCTGTAATAACACACACAAACAGCAAAACATCAAATCATATTTTACCACCAAGCATATTTTATTTGTGTTATCCAGTTTATGACTCTTCAGACACGTCCCCGAGCAATGCCGCTGCTCCCCATGAAGCTCCGCACTAGCGCGAAGGTGCGGGTAGCGCCGGGGGACGAGGGCACGGCGGCCGCGGCCGCGGGCGGAGGGCTCGGCCGGCTGCGCTGCTGGGTGCTTATTTGAACAACGTCGACGTCTGGCTTTCAAGTATCCGCTGCCTTTAAGTGCACAGCCTTAAAAGCAGTAACAGAGTGTTACCACGACGGAGGCAATTAGCTACAGCCAATTAGTAAATGAATCAAAAAAGGAATTTCGTTGAGATAACGAAGTGGGATGTGGGGCCGTTTAAGCATGTTGCAGCAGTCCTTCCTCGCTGCTCCCTGGCGGCTGTTGTGGGCAAAACCCCCCTGCTTTTCTGTTCAACAGCTGTCGACTCCTTCAATTCTTCCCCTGCTCCCGCCGAACGCAGGCACGTACCCGGGAGCGGGGGAGGCGAGGGACAGC